GCTGGACCAAGCTTCTCGCTGAGAAACGCCATGACGGAGCACACGATGCTGTGTGCTTGTGAGACGCGTATGATCTCGTGGGTCAATGACCAGTCTGTGCTCGTGGCCGTCTTCGTGTTTGTTATCGTGTCGCTGGAGATCATGCTCGTGGCGTTGTCGTGCTACATTATCCACTCGCGTCGTCACCGCCGTTACGGCTACCAGGAGATCACGATGCCCGTGCGACAGCAGCCGTACAATCCACACCCGCGAAACTACTTTGGCCAGCAGGCGGGGCAGCGCCAGCCGCTCAACACCCAGCCAGCGTACTCATCATACGGGCCAGCAAAGGGAGAAAACCCTTATGCGGCTGCTGCCTCGGGTAGGAAGAATAATAAGTCTGGCTGCCAGTAGGGTACTACTGCCTTGTTGGACCATGTTTGAACTAAGGTTAGTGCATGGTGTGTCTAGTGGCACCTGCAAGACCCCGTAGGAAAGGGTCGATGTTCTACAAGAATAAACCAGTTTGCACAAGACCATGGCTCGGTATCGGAAAGTGGATGCTAAAGAATTTGCAACGCGAGCTGCGATGTACCTTCATCCAACTTATTCTATTCATGTTCACTCTGGACAAGTGACTTGTACGACGTTGCATCTTATTTCATCGATGTCTTCTTCTTGCTGCGCTTTGTAGTCTCTGTAGTTACCGCTTCTTTGTTTCATCATCCTGCTCGGTTAACCTAGATCTAGTCCCGACCGACAGACGCGGTTACTATATATGGGCTAGCAAGACAACTTGCTGCCTCGATCTTTTCATACCCAGCAACGAGCAGAGTCTGACTATCCACATTTGCAAACACGTGCTTTTGGCAAGGTTTTGATTTGGTATCAACGAGTTTGAGTCAGCGTTGCCGACGTTTTACCTCTCAATAGGATGAACATTTTAGAGTGAGGGTACGATTCGAACGACGACCCCAATCCTGACGTACTACAAGACTACTTGACATTTGTTCGGGTTTGTCAATCTCTTTACGCTGAAAGTCAGGATCAAGTAAGTTCCAAGTCTAATCAACTTCAACTTCCTGGTGGACAATCGTCAGTAAGCGAAAGAGTAAATTTGGTCGAGATCGCGAAGCTACTCTGCGGCTCTACGGTTTTGAAACGCGTCAAGAATACTACACACTGAGAAGTGAGGGAGTATCGCGTGGCGTCGCGTGATCTTTTTCGTACATGATACGTAAATCGGCAACAAAGAGGAGATCGTGGACTTTTATCTAGTTGTCGGCAACAGTATCCACAACGCATTTCCACGAGCTGTACGCCTTCCGTGATGGTAAGTCACTCATCTTCTCTCGATCGCATGTACGGTCTTTACCTCTCCTTCATGATCGTTTTACATCACTCAGAGCCAGATTGGCAGTGAAATGCTGGTCATAAGGCCTGACACCATTCGAGTGTCTCACCTTACAAGTATGCTGCATTCTGACCTGCATCCATGTGACATCAATATACGTATGCGCTATTCCGTGCTCATTTACCACATACCAAGCGACCGAGGCTACAGCTGATCATCAGTAAAGCGCTCGTCAATACGCACTAGACGAATACCGTTTGTGGAATTGACGCTGTCATCCTCCACTTTATGACCAGTCTTGGTCCAAGAAAAAAAGTAAAAGTCTCTACGATGACGACACCGGGAGTATTTGTTGTAGCTGGTGCAAGAGCTTCTTAGGAATACAGACAACGCGGTAAATAAAAGGTTGGAGACTCGAGAGGAGGAAGGAGCGCGCCAGTTCTGTCCAGCTCTCAACCAGACAGTTCCCATTACTGTCGTGGGCAAAGTCTTTGTTCCAGCATTCACAGGACTGTACTTTGCTAGCGTTGACAGCACCTTATTCCTGCAGAGATCGAGAAATAATGCCTGGTCACAGGGTTGCTGCTACGTACGTAAACGATTATGCCCCTGCCGTCCAGTGGCTTCTACGACAGGGAATTTGTAGTAGTGAGCAGTGTAATTGCAATGCCATTGGTAGTGACTCGGAAGAAGAGTGCGCTAAGACTTCATCTGTTAAGCGTTCAGTGTCAATGGGGCAATCGAGTCGGTGCACTAGAACGAAAATAAGCAAATTCTACGTACTACCGCCACCACAGCGTGTAATGGAAAAGCTCACATTGTCAGCACGTGCCGTCTGGGAGTTGATGCCACGCACAGAACATCCTAATACAACGCCTAATCATAAACGTGGTTGAGTGTGTGTGATGTAGTATGTTCGACTAGACAACAATTGTGCTACTATCGAAGTGATCATCGAGGTTTCTGGTGTAGCTTAAGCAGCCCTTTTTGTCGCTACGTGCGACGCGTACGGGATACAAGCAGAATGCGAAGGGTGCCTTATTATACGAACGTGCATCAAAGTGCTGACGGCTTGGTCAAGACGTTGTCTAAGTATGTGAGAACTACTTGTGCGTCGGCCCCGCCGAGAAATTCGGATAAAGCCACTGACAATGATGTCAGGGCAATTTACGATGCAGAGCGACTTGCCCTCTAGCTACAGTTGTATTTTTTGTTGTCTAAAACATGTTAATTTATGAGAAATGCGACAACGGTAAACGAAACAAATAGAATCCGAGCACGCGGCCGGTTATCTAAGTTGACAAAGAGCTACCATTTAGCCCGGCATACTGCTTTCTTTCTACATGTTGATCATGTGGAGCTGACAGCAGATGAAAACCCCTCGCTCAGCTTTGTTGTAACGGGGTGAATCGTTACGTAACAATTTATAAGAAATTGTTAATAGAATATAACTATAAGAGTTATATTCTCAGAATATTGTCATAAGGACAAATATTCTGTAGCACTTACAAGTAGTTCCTAATTGGTTGATATAGGCCATTATATCAACCAACGAAGACGCGCCACGACAGACGCACGCAATGAGTGGTGAGCAGATAACTGATTTACACATTTGTATTTAGACATAGTTAGATGAAGATAAATAGGGATTTATTGCAGACATTAACTATTATAAATACGGTTCTACTTTTACTTTAACCAAGTACTCGCTTCTTCTTACCGTCTTCCTCTGCACGTACAAGTGTACGTGAAGTTACGAGGCACCGCCTTATTCTGTCATCAGAATAAGTAGCTTGTACTGTCACCAGTACAAGCTTCAGGGTGCCCCGTTACACCTGGTAGCACTTCGTAGTCCGTCCAAGGACCACGTTCACATCTAACATGAATATGTTGGATGATGACGATGACCAAAGCTTTCACGCTACGCGTGACGGCTACTCCCATTTGAGCGATGTCGAATGGGATGCGGTTGAACGAATGGGTTCGACCATGGGCATCCATGCTGTTAGCGTCATGCTAGAGGCTCTCAATAGAGATGCCCAACATGCTACTATCGCCAAGTTCATTCAAAATGAACTTGACGGTGAACTGCGAGAAAGTAGCCTTGCTTCACCAACAAGGTTCTCAACAAGCAGAGTTGTTGAGAGAACAGGGTGCTCAACAGTTTGAACTGTTGAGACAGCAGCAGGCTGCTGCTGGCGGGTCGATGCACTCGCGTCGACCCGAGACTTTGAAGATTGACATCTCAAAGTATAGGGGGTCGAAGAAGACTCCCTCTTGAGATGGTTCGTCGAATTGGATGACGCCATAAGGGCGCGTCGCATCGACGACGGGGATATGCAAGTTGCATTTGCCCAGTCAAATCTGGCAGGACGTGCGAAGACATGGGCACTGGGGCTCAAGTTGCACGACCCATATGCGTTTGGGTCGTTGGAAGTCTTCAAGTCGCGGCTCAGACAAACGTTTGAACCGCCTAGAGCTGAGTTCAGAGCTCGAACCGAACTCTTGAAGCTCAAGCAGGGTAAGCGTGATGTACACGCTTACGCTCAACATATATGACATCTCACGAGTTGTATAAGTTCCAATCCGGTGGATGAACACACGTTGGTTTCGGTGTTCATGCAGGGTCTTGCGGATGGTCCCGTCAAGACTCACCTGTTCCGGCTTGAACTAGATTCACTAGAACAAGCCATTTCCATTGCGGAGCAGGAGACTTCAGTTTGAGAAAGGCTCGCGCCAGCTCGACATCATATCGTCAACCGCGACGATATGACAGCGGAGGTCCAGAGCCGATGGAACTCTGTTATGTAGAGAGCGAGAAGGCTCGCTCTACAGGCTACAAGAAGTTGCAGAGATGCAACAGATGTCAAAAGACAGGACACTACGCTTACGAGTGTAGTGCCCCTCGTCCAGTGTCTCGCGACACTGGGCGTAGTGACCGTCCACCCATGAGAAAGGGGCAGGGACGAGGGTCCGCAGTTGGTGCAAAGACGCAACAACGGGATGGACCGTCAAAAAACGGACAGGATCAGTAGGTGCGGAGCACCCTACTGATCCAGCAACATCAAGAGAATTTGTAGGCCTCTTGATGAAGGTTGCTCCCAACACACAAACGTTGTGCGTTGCTGCTCTAGGTAATGAGATCTCACTCATTACCTTGAAACTCGAAGTGACGAATAAGTTGTCCCTTCGAGCTCTAGTCGATTGTGGGGCGTCCAACAATTTTGTGCGACGCCAATCGCCAGAAGATGGTCACTTTAAGTTCAGTGAATGTGACACACCTCCTACGAGGATGACGGTACGTCTTGCGACAGGCGCATCCGTAACCGTCATGAAGCGTATAGATCCACTATACGCTAGAAGATACCCAATATGACGATGACTTTATCGTATTGGATTTGGATGACAAATTTGATGTCATCCTTGGAATACCGTGGCTCAGAAGGTACGAACCACGGGTAAACTGGCAACATCGGACAGTAACGATGCCTGCCGCTTGTTCATCAGATGGCCATCTGATGAACTTTTTGGAGCGTCCACAAGCGTGTGGATGTACTACGAGTGAGTGCGATGGCCTCACTTGTGGTACGGTCGTTAGTACGACTGCACAAAACCTTAGTGTACCAAACGGTTACACTTCGGAGCAAAGTTCCGGCGGCTGTGAGGAAACACAGGCTGCGCCGAAGGTCCACCACTCGAATAAGTCGGGTGGACTGGGACAAAGATGTATCCCTAGCGGGGAACATCTAGAAGAGAAACAATCGATCGCTCAGGTTAAGCGAAACGATAATCCTAGATCGACTGGAGAGTCTTTCGTAGAGGATCTCGCTGTGGTTGCGCAACCCAGCTAGATGAAGTAAAGGAATAAGTCCCAAGATTACAAATACGGCGGAAACAAGCTCCCCGAAACCCGCGGGAATAAGTCCCCGGGAAGACGAAGGAGTAAGTCCTCCGAGGCCTGAGGGAATAAGTCCCCAGGAAATGACAGAGACATTGAATGTCATAGTCAATGATGGATCAAGTGTAGGCGCTTATACACTTGATCTGATTGCGCCTCCGA